GCTGACATAGCCTAGTCAGACTGCATGACCCTTTTTCTGTGTTGTACACGCTGTACAATTCTGTATGAGATGGAATGGATCAGAGCAAGGGAACATGCAGGTGTGCCATGAGTCATGTTGCTGTCATACATTGAGAACCATTTCCCAGCTGGACCACTAACCAAAGGTGCCAACTGGAAGTAGGGGTACTTCAGTGAATTCATACACTCAAAATCATAGGTGTTTGAAGTAAAAAGCAAACTTCCTAAGGCAACTGATAGATCATTTGTTGGACTAACTCTGCAGAGGGTCATATCTACTCCAGCAAATGTAAGTGAACGAATTGGAAAAAAAAATCCTTCGGAGACATTATAATAATAGATCAATCATCATGCAGTGCAGAAAGAAAAAAATGACAACCAGCTGTTAAGCTTCATTTTCAACAGTTAACGTTTCTGATAGATCTCCATATCAGCCTATATCTTTATACTTACCTATATCATTTTATGTATATATTATATGTGTATAATTTATTAATGTCTTGAGATTTCTATATGAATTTGATTAACGTTTCTGAAGTGGCTGCAGTCAGTAACTCCCATTTCTTTTTGCTGTACTATGTCCTGGTTTGTATATTGAGACCCATGCGCACAAGTGTATATGTGCGTTTTTGCAATGTCTTCTGTAGTGTGCACTTGTAAGTGTAAGTGTCACACTTGCTTCCTGTTGCGCATTATTGTGACATAGTATAACCACAACTCACTACACAACAACCAGGAACACCTGCTACCATTATATTACCATTAGAAGTGTACAGCTTTCTTATTACAGTGTTACCTACTCATTTCGACCCCACATAAGTCAATGTACCCACTTTGTTAGCCGCACATAAAACCTGATCCATTTTACTCTTTACATTTGCAATTTATGCCTCACTATCCCAACGTCAACGGACCAGGATAACCTGATGAGTCGACAAGCAGCCTTTGTTCCCATCTCAGTGCCTTCTATTTGAAACAATCCACATATTTTGACATCTTTGGCATTTTATGTTTCAAATAAAAAATAATTCTAAAAAAAAATGCGCAAACAATAAAAAGCTACAGTTCCCTTTTCTTCTTCTCCAAATTCATGTATATGTAGAGTATTTGCTAATGTAAAACTATAAAAGTATAGATTTGTAGAGTTACCCAAACACACACATGGTCCACCACCATCTTAGATCAGGAATGTCGACAACATGTTATGTCAACAAAGTTTATATGGGCTGAGAGGTGTCGACATAAAGGGTAAGACTTTGGTGTTCACACCAAACACAAGCAGATAAATTACTCGGGACTTAAAAGTAGCCAAGGAAGGGAGGGAGGTGGGGTGTGGGGTGTGGAGCTGGAGAGTTTGAGTTGAGCTAGAGATGACGGTGGAAGAAAGAGACTTGAATTGGCCCCATATTTATGGTAAGCTACTTACAGTTCCCAAATGACATTTTTCCCATCATCTAACAACTTCAGACGTTGAAATAGAAAAATGAACAAAACAGTGCAACTTTTACGCAACTTGCAGTATTCCATCCAAAACAACCTCTTACTTTTGTTCTTATTAATAATTGTTTGGCAACCATGAATATTTGCTCTTCCGGTAGAAATCCTGTTGGGGAGAAAAAAAAAATACAGCATTCAATTAACAGCAGATTAACCTATTCCTTTCGGAAGATTATTTTCTTATAAAATTGTTCCTTCCGGACAATCAGAAAAGCATGTTAAAATATATTTGTTGAAATTTTTTTGTTGAAATATATGCCCGGATCACTTGTCTGATTGTGTATTTAGTAGATATAAGGGGAAAATGGATGTGGGGGAGTGGGGTTAGTTGGGGGATTGGGAGGTGGAAGTGGCTGGCTGTAACAAAAGTCCCAAATGGATGTCCAGGAAAGGACCAGCTCATCCATCAAGCCTGCTGCACACAACATCCCTCCTGGAAATTCATGCCCGAACACCTTGTACATTGCCCGCTTTCCCTGACTGTAAATCTGCCCCCACCAAACCCCCTTCCCCAGCCCCTGCAGGGAAGATGAAAGCTGAGGGACTGAACACGTTGGAAAATTGCTCTCAGGTGATTGAAAGACTCCAGGAGATCACAAGGACAATCTAAATGGATGTTATTCAAAATGCTCTGTTGGAAACGATGCTGCAATATTGTCTGTTATTTCCCTTGGGTGGGTGAGGGGAGGATACTAACTGTGCCAACTTTGCAGCTGATATTGAATCCAGCAGAAGCTATGCAACCAGCCACAGGTGACTAGCCAATCTGCTTATTTATTAATGGTCCCACTTAGAGAAGATTCGGGGCCACACCAGGATCCTTTCAGATGTCAAAGCCCAACACACCACCCAAGGCAGCTCACCAGTAATTGCCCAGGAGACAGGGAGCCCCACGAGACCCCCTTTACCTCCCAGCCCCCCACAGGAAGCATTGGGCTATAATAGTGTCCTCACATCGATCTAACACCTCCCAGTCGTGAACCACGTCAACTCCCCCTCCCACTCCCTGGACGACATGTCCATCCTGGGCCTCCTCCAGTGTCACAATGATACCACCGGGAAACTGGAGGAACAGCACTTCATATTCCACCTTGGAAGTCTACAGCCTGATGGTCTCAATGTGGACTTTACTAGCTTCAAACTCTCCCCACCTCATCCCATGACCAGCACCCCCTCTCATCCCCGCCTCCTTGACCTGTCCCTCTTCTCTCCCACTTATCCACTCCACTATCTACCTGCTAACACCGCCCCCCCCACCCCCATTTATTTCAGAGCCCTCTTCCCCTCCCCATTTCTGAAGAAGGGTCCCGACCCAAAACGTCAGCTTTCCTGCTCCCCTGATGCTGCCTGGCCTGCTGTGTCCCTCCAGCTCCACACTGTGTTATCTCGGACTCCAGCATCGGCGGTTCTTAGTATCTCTGAGTGATCTATACATTGGGTTGTCCTGTCTGGCCTGGTATCCCTGCCTTGGTTCTCTTTTGTCTTTGAGTAAAGCTGAACCCTGTTCAGAGGACCACCTCCTCCCAGAGCAGATGCACACTGCTCTGGCAACAGGATGGCCACCCTTCCAGGTGGGCTGGATCCAAAACCTCAGGAGCACCCCCGTCACCTTTACTGGACGCCAGATTAGGAGATCGGGCTGATACCAACCAATGTCCACATCCGGAGGTGGTCACCACGACTTGGGACAGTTTTCACGATTCCGTCCTTCGAACTGGTGGCTTAGGCTCCCGTTGCTAATTCCCTAATGGACGAATGGTAGGTCATCGCACTCGGTGAGATGAGGGCGGGGCTGAGCACGGGGCGGCCTCTCAAGTTTCTGTTTAGAATCACGAGCAAGGAACCTCCTTCCAACTGAGGTTCTGAAGTTCTGTGGAATCGATAAAGTTGCATCCCTGCTCGCGTGCCATTGTTTTCAGGAGCCAACAGGGCCAAAGACCAAACTGGTACAAACACAAAGTGCTGGAGAAACTTAGCAGGTCTGGCTGCACCCGTTGGAGAGAAAAGCAGAGTGTTGAGTCCAGTGGCGTTTCTTCAGAGGAATTGTGGCATCATCAGGAAAGTGGTAGGACAACTGTAATGGAATCAAAGTCAGATGGTCATGTCTACAACAGCTTTCATTTGTATAGCCTCTTTAAACTCACGGTGACTTATCCCAAAATGCTTAATAGGAACCGTTGTTAAAGAAGAATTGACACCAGTCCATAAAAGGAGCTATTAGAAATATAAAAAAATACTCAGGCAGGCAGTCCCTGTGGAGCAAAAGAAACGGAGTTGATATGTAACTGCTGATAGTTTTATGTCAGCACTGGAAAAATGCAAATGGTTTTAAGCAAGTTTTGGAGACAAGGAAAAGTAGGGAAGGGGGAAAAAACACAAGGGAAGGTTGTGATGAGGTAGCAGGCCAGGTAAGATTTAATGGCAAAAGGAATGATGGGATGCAAAAGGGGATAGTAATGGGACAAGTAAATAAATAATGACCCTGAAAGAGGCATAAATCATTGAATCCCTATAGTGAAGAAGCAGGCCATTCGGCCCATCGAGTCCATGCCAACCCTCCATCCCACCTTGACCCTGTCCCTGTAAGCTTGCATTTCCCATGGCAAATCCACCTAACCTGCACAGCTTTGGACTGTGGGAGGAAACCGGAGCACCCGGAGGAAACCCATGCAGACGTGGAGAGAACGTGCAAACTCCACACAGACAGTCGCCCGAGGATGGACTCAAACCTGGGTCCCTGGCGCTCTTGGGCAGCAGTGCTAACCACTGTGCTGCCCCAGCAATGGTGATAGCAGAGTGAACACTGCTGTCTGAAAACAGTGGGAGCTGTGGTTATGATCTGAAACCATTGAGCTGAAGCGTTTTGTCTTGAATGTACAGTTCCACAAGTTGCTTTGAGCTTCATTGGAATAGTACAGGTTTCCAGGACAGAGAGATCAGAATTTGAGTCAAGAGAGACCAAAAACTTGGTCAGAGTAGTTATTTTCAAAGACCGTTTTAAAGGAGGACAGAGAGGTGCATATGCTCAGGAAGGGATGTCCAGACTTTGGGGATTCATACGCATGAAGGTACAAACACTAATGACAGAGCAAAGAAAACTGGGGTTGTGCCAGAGGCCAGAGGCCAGAGTGAGTTTAGACGGGACTTAAAGGCTTGGATGCGAACATGCAAATAAGACTAGGTATTTATGATCTGCAAACATTCCAAGTGAATATAACGTGTACAACATCCGCTTTCGCCCCTGAATGCTGCAAAATAATTTTACGTGAATGACTGCAAGTGCAGTCCCATTTATGTAGGTTCCATGAGGGATGGATAGTTACTTAAGTAATATATCTACAACACCGAGCCCAGTCACTCATAACAGGTGCAATCTCCAGGTGTATTTGACAGATGCATTAACCAACTATCTCCATTCTTGCAGGACTTGCACTTTCACAGTATGCAACTGTCATCAAATCAATGCTTTTTGTTTTATTCTAGACATGTTCCTGGAGAACCAGATGATTATCATCTTCAAGGCCCCTATGGTGACAGAGAATCACACAAGTACCTGGGAGCCCAGCATCACACTGCAGGATATCGACATCTAGGGAATTATCCCCGAAATGCTGCAGACAATCGGCTGGACCCCAGGATGCCAGACTACTTGAGCAGTGCCAGACTGCGGGAGGCTGTGTACAATCTCCCAACCCAGTACAAGGGACCCCACAGGCACGATGTGCCTCCATCCCCGACACAAACTTATAAAATGCCTCGCCACCATGACCAGGGCAAGATGACATACAGGGAGAGCAGCCCAGACAGATACAGGTACCCCTACGAGGACGGCAGGTATCAAGATCCCAGGCAAAAGAATGGCATGACAGCAGCTGTCTAGCCAAGTCAGAACCAGGACATTGTGTAACAACACAATGGGGGCACATGAACAGATGTGGTTTTCCACCAGTGGTCTTCAACTCTGTCTCACGGAGGAGATAAATCTGCTTTATTCTCCACCTGAATTCAACTATGTTTTATTCTGAATTGATTTATGAAAGAATGGCCCTTCCCTCCAGTCAGATCACTCTGATCATTTTGCATCTCTTGATGAATAGTTACGTGTTGGTAATGAAGTTTGCTGATAAATCATTGAGCTGCCTTTATTGTGATCAGGTTTACAAATAATGCCCATAAGGAAGGCTGACTGAGCCTGTGCTGAGGGAACATTTTCCCCAGTAAGGAACCACAGATCCTTTCCTGATAAACCTGCAGTATAGATAACGTTACTGTTAATCCTCTTTGCGAACGTTATCTTGTAGTCAGGGGCAGTGACTCTGCAAGGGAATTGAGCCCGAGTATTAAATAAAACACACTTTTATAAAAGAATGAAATATTCCAGGGTAAGAATTTAATCGCAAGCTTCACATAAGTTTATAAACCAGCAGAGGGGCATTATCAGAACCCTTAATTCAATCATCAGCAATGTGTCCATTCCTATATATTCTCCATGTAATTGTGTGTGAATGTTTATATACGATAGTGAAGCTTTGAGTGCCAAATTGAGGCTGAAAAGACCTACAGAGTGAAGAAAAGCTGTCAGAGCCATCATGGTATAGACTCCAACACCGTGATGGTTATCTTACCTATGTTTCCTAAGGTATAAGCCAGCGCAAACCCTGACAAATGCATTAAGCGTTCATGAGCAGCTTATTCAATTCAATGATTGGGAAATGCTTATTGTTAATCTATCTGTATTACGGCAGCACGCATCATTATAGTATAATTTCACAAGAAAGCAGTTTCAAGTTATTGGTAACACCATAAGTTTAAAAGTCCTTCTTGTATCTCTTCCACATGACATAATTTCCCATTCTATTCAGCCTCAGCTGTTCTGTTATCTCTCTGTGGACTAGCAATAATTTCCCTTTTAATATGTCAACTACTCTTCCAATATCTGGTTATTAGTAAGATATAATTTGTGATTTCAGTTCAAAAAACTAGTCTCCAAGCCTGCTCTCGACTTGCTAAGAGATGTCATTTAGTGTGTTTCAGAGAATTATCAGCCTCCTGTCACCATCTAATGATGTCATACAGTTGGCTTAAAATATATAAGAAGACTGTAAATATCAGTTTAAGGTGACTTTTGTAATTAAATTTAATTAAAAGTGGGTTTTCATCAGTAATTAAATAGAAAATGTGTTTCCTTGTCTTTATAGGAATTTTGTGCTCATGAGAGAAAGTAAATGAACTCCCAGATCTCCATGTAATTTCAGTTGGTATCAAGTTGGGTAACATTAAGAACTGGTGGCATCAATGTTAATGGCTTAAGTCAGCTTTATGCAGTGTTTCTGAGACATACAAATTCAGAAGATCCCACCAGTATGCGCTGAGTAAGCCGACCTCAGCTTGAGTTGTTCCAGGTTGCCTCTGGATATGCAGGGTTGGGAGCGATGAGGGGGTTAAGCAGGGATCAGCCAAACATCCTGCTACTGGGAGGTTACCCAGCTGTCCTCTCCTCTCTTTCACTCTCTCAGCTTAGTTCCATGGTTGATTTGAGTTAGAACATATTTGATTAACATGCGACCTCCCTATACCAATCCATGGTCAATAGTTCTCGTTGCTCACAGTGTAGCCACTGAAGCAAGCTGAAAGGTGCCTGTGGCAACTTACCAGGAGGAAGAGGCAGAAAAAGGAGAGGGGGAGAATGGTACCCAACTCACTCCTTCTGCAGTTGATGACTGCTCTCAGTAAATTTCAAAGAATCCACTTGAGAATCTATTCCCACTGGCCCATTGCACAGGTTTCCGTGACGGTTTTACAGGCCTTTGAATCTTACACCAATGGAACAATTTACACCCATGAGATGCTTTCACCGTATGATTGGATATTGTTTTATGATGACCCAGGCAGCCCTGATTAAGTAGGAGCCCATTGCTCATGGTTACAAAATTCTGCGAAGTCAATGAGGTGATTTTCCACAGTGAGGTCATAAGTTAAATTGATTACAAGCCTTCTCTCTCTTTTGATGCAGTGTGGCTGCTTTGAATGGAGTTCGTACATTTACAGTAGCTTGTGACATTGTTGTATTTAGGAGTAGGCCATTCAGCCCCTTAAGCCTATTTCAACAGTGTTAATGGCCATGAACTTTATCCAACATCACTTTACTCACACTTTACTACAGCTGTCTTAACTTAATCTTAAATGTTGACATCAATCTCCACTTCAGTCACAGAATTTAGTAAAAATCTATATGCAAGGGACAAAGACTGAACCCCAGTGCCTCATGTGCACAAAGCAGATACCCTGTCATTGGGTATCCATATCCTCCGGCTTGATGACCCAAGGCTGTAGGACCTGAACTGAAGGACAAGATCACAGCTAGGACCCAAGTTACATTGCCTGATGCAAGTGATACCCCATGCAGCTGCTCACTGCTCCCTTTCTGAGCCGCTGTCTAGTACTTTTAAAGCTCTGCAGCTTTTGAAAGTTAGGCCATGACGTTGTTGCCTATGTAACAACTTGGTGCTGGAACACCCAGTTGAAACATCTGGCCCAGTTCTCCTCAGTTGGAGAGAGAATGTCCTCAGTTGAACGTTCGAGATTGAAGTGCTGAAGAGAATTGATGCAGAGAACAATGGATAGTCAGGAGCAAGCAATAGGCTGTACACTTTATCAAGGGGTTAAAATGTGTTCTGCATTGAAGGATTGACTTTTTTAGCGTGTTTACCTGTAATTATTTAATCTGTGTACACAGACGTTTTGAACGAAGGGTTCTGCCCAGAATATCAACCTAACTTTTCTTTCTGCAGATGTTGAGTGCCTGAAGAATGATGGATAACCCTGAGTAATTGCAAATCTAACAAATAATTTCATTTGATAGTTTTAAAAAAGTATATAATCTGAGATCATTCTCAGTGTAACTTTTTCTCATCATTTGTATATCACTTTTGGATATCCATTGTTTGTCATTTTATTAAAGGATTGGAAACACTGAACCGTGATAATGGTGGCTGAGCACCTACAGAAATTCTGTACTGGAACTTGCAGATAACAATTAAAATGTTAACAACAACCATGAGAGTTAGTGGAGTGTTTCAGCAACAGAACCAGAAATGTAATGGGATTACAGATCATCTTTCTTTGGCCAGAATTGATTTTGAGACTTTATTTCTCCCAGCTTTTGTGTGCTTCTGTTTTTTTCTTTTATAAACATTTATTATCAATTAACAGACTGGGTTATTTGTTCCACGTACATGCTCACATGCAATTACTTTCACATGGACCATGTACTGGTTCATTTTGCTTGGGTACTATGCAGTTAATCCCCATTAGTTCTCGTGGATATTCCAGGGAATGACGTCTTTCAGATGCAGCGTTCCTTACCTGGCCTTCCACAGAGCTAGGTTCACAGATATCGCCTCTATACCACCAACAGTCTGCCAATTAAAAATATAATTTCTTTCTAAAAGTTTTCTTTCATTAATGTCAAGCAGAGTCGCATCCCTGCCAGCTCAGCAGGACAGCCACTTAACTGCAGACAGCTGAGCAGGCTGTAAGTAATGCATTTCTTCCAATCACACCTCTCTTGTCTGACCCCAAGTCCCAGGAGGTGTTTTGAGATAGTGACACACATGATTGGCTCCCTGTCTTGCCTGTCCATCCAGTTGCACTGGAAGATGACAGGTGAGAAACCTTCCAGAGCAACTTTATATTTTGAAAGAACACGTGGAAGAGAAAAGGGATAGGTGAAGCAGCAGGTAACATCTTTTGTTAAATCTGCATTCACTACAGAAGTTAAGAATTAGACCCCACCAACGCCATCCCCAATTCCCCTACCCATCAAGAACATACAGAGTGTGACTGGCAATCAATGTGTGAGGTAAGTTTTCTGATGAGGCATTAAACCAAGGTCTTTCAAGTGGATGCAGAAGATCCATGACACTATTTTGAAGAAGAGCAAGGGAGTTCTCCCCAGAGGTTCTGGCCAATATTTATTCTGCCATCGACATCACAAAAAAAATTAAACCGTCTGGTAATTATCACATTGCACTTGTGAGAACTTTCTCCATACAAATCGGCTGCTGCATTTCCAACGTGACTACAGAATATGTTTAAAAGTGCTTCGTGGACTGTGGTGTAATTTGGAATGTCCTAAAGTCAGGAATGGTGGTACAGAAATGCAAGTCTGTTCACCTTTTCCATGTACTCCACTGCACATGTCAGTAGAATATGATTTTAATCTCTTCTCAGCATAGCTGTTTGCAAGAGTAGTCAAAGGTTGTCAAACTAACCCTGTGTACTAGTCATATACTCATGGACTTTGTTCTATATTCTTCTGATTTCAGCAAGGGCAGAAGACCATTTTCTTCATTTGTTTATATGATAAAGGCATTGCGGGCTAGGCTAGCATTGATTACCCATCACTACTTTCCCATGAGAAAGAGGCAGTGAGCTGCCAGGTTGCATGGGATAGGAGGGGAATTAAGTACACTCCCAAAGCTGTTAGAGAGGGAATTCCAGATTTTTGACCCGATGACTGTAGGAACAGCGATATATTTCCAAGTCAGGATGGTGTGTGACTTGAAGCGGAATTTGCAGGTGACGGTTTTCACATCATTTTAATGTGGTTCAACATCCCAAGAGGCTTCACAGGAGCATATCAGAAAAAAAGTCAACTCTGAACCACTTAAGATATTAGGACATGGCTTATTCAAAAAGACTGGAGTGGTGTTTTAGAGAAGGAGAAAGAGATGTAGGTTGGTACTTAAAGGTTAGACAACTGAATGCAAAGGAAGTAGGAGTAGCTGTGGCATAGTGGACTGTCATTGAGCCAGAATACCAGGATTATGTTTGAGGGACCATAAAGAGAAATTACTGGAGAAACTCAGCAGTTCTGGAGAGAAAACAAAGACAAGGTTTCAGACTGCTTTCTGTCCATAGATCCTGACAGATCTGCTGATTTCTCCACCAATTTCTGATTTTATTTCAGATTTCCCACATCCACAGTTCTTTATTTTGGGTTCTAGGGACATGGGTTTGAATCCCACCGTGGCAGCTGGTGAAATTTAAATCCAGTAAAAATATGGAATAAAAAGGTAGCTTAATGGTGACCATGTGACCACTGTTGAATGTTGTAAAAACCCATCTGATTCACTAATACCCTTTAGGGAAGGAAATCTGCCATCCTTACTTGGTCTGGCCTACATGTGACTCCAGACTCACAGCAACGTGGTTGAGTCTTAACTGGCCTCTGTGCAAAAAAGGGATGAGCAATAAACTTTGAGCCTCGCCATGAACAAATAATAAAAAGGTAGAAGAGACCAGAGCTGAAGGAGTGAGTTCTATAGAGCCTGGACCAAAGGACTGGGATAGAGTGAGTCCATGGAAAGATTTAATCAGAAGGTTGGCCATTTAAAATTCGAGAAATGAGTCAATGCAGGTCAGCAAATACATGGGTAATGGATGAAGATAAACATAAGTGCAGTCGATGAATGAGCAAGCATCGCCCAGAGTCCATTTGACGAATGGTTAACCCTGTTCTAAAACTATTTGAATCCTGCAAGACCACTCCCCACCCGTACTGCCCTCCTGTATATTCTGGGGATACAGATATTTCTGAAAACATGATAGACTGGATATGATACAAGAAGTCCAACACGAAAGCCAAGTTGTGATCAGAGCTGGGGCAAGGAGTTGTTGACGGGAGTACTGGCAGTTCAAGGTTTGTTGTCCTTGCTGCCTAATTTAAAAGCTGACGTCTCCACACCATGAAGTGCTGAGAAATGAAGAGAGAGCGAGAATCGCTACTCCGTGAAAGCATCGACTCCTGATCGATTTGCTATGAAGACATTTGTGTACACTTCAGAGAATGGACCCAAGAAAAAACATAGGACGCCGAAAGATTGCGCCCAAGTAGTTTCACTGGTGACTTATGTAGTGAGTGAGCGAGTGTCTTAAACAAGGATGCAGACCCTCCTGTGACAGTGAGATACTTTACACTTCAAATGATCCAGGTTAATGAGACTGTCTCTTCAAATGAGGAATGTCAGTGCACAGCTTGACATGAAAACAAAAAGCGGGGGCAGCAGGGGGAGGGAAGGGTCGATATAGAAAGGACTCAACTCTCCCGTCAATGCATTGTGTCAGAAATGCACAGCAACCCCTAGTGGCTCAGCTGGAATTTAACACAATCTGAATCGTGCTGCTGTTGTTGGAATCGTAAGCTACCCCCCAGACCTGGTGCAGCGCAGGACGGTAATTGGCTTTGACAGCTCAATGCACTGCACGCTCCTTCAGTTGCTATTTTATTCCTCCCTTCTTTCATCCAGGAAGAAATTGCACGCTTTTAATGAAACTGAGTAACTGCAGCTTCACGTTGCCAAACACAGCAATGAGAGAAACCATCTCCAACACGTTGAAGCTAAAAACCATCTACAGTAGACGCCTTCAACAGCCTAACATTGATCTTCTGTTTAACTGAAAATTAGAGGTGCGGAGAGTTAGGAAGAGAAAACTGCCTGTTGATATCAAGCGGTGAATCTCAAGTGCTCATTCGCTCGCCTCAGTGTTTTGTAACCAGAGCCGTAGCTCATCACGAGACTGAAATACGCAGAAGCTAATTAGTTCATTGTGTTGTCTCATGAGCTGAAAAGATGCAATCTCTCTGTTTTGTTGTCAGGAGAAAAAGACAGAAAAAAGATTGAATCAATTATATATTAATAAGTATTCAGTCTCTATGTGGCCATTCTTAGTGGTTTTGGACAGCACTCCACCCACACTTCGAAATGCAGGGCAGCCTTAGCCTACGCACTGGTACAACAACAATTCCCAGTTATAATCCATCCCTCTCCCTGCCAACTGATGAACCAGATTGCCCTGAAATGTTGGTGTCATATTTGGCTACCAATTTTGTTACCACATTCTCACTTCATCACCAAGACAGCAGATTCCCACCATTGCCTGTGCAGAATAGAATCCCTACGGTGTGGGAGCAGGCCATTCGGCCCATCAAGTCTACACCAACCCTCCAAAGAACATCCCGCCCCAACCTAACCCCCTACCCTATCCCTGTAGCCCTGCATTTCCCATGACTAATCCACCTACCCTGCACAACCCTGGACATTATTGGTGATTTACCATGGCTAATCCACCTAACCTTCAACATCTTTGGAACGTGGGAGGAAACCAGAGCACCCGGAGGAAACACACACAGTCACAGCGAGAACCTGTAATTTCCAGACACACAGTCGCCCAAGGGTGGAATTGAACCTGGATCCTGGCACTGTGAAGCAGCGGTGCTAACTACTACACCAACATGTTGCCCAATATAGCCCTGCCATCTCCTGATAGAGCCCTGCCATCATCAAGTCGACTGCTGAAACCCTCACTTATGTTATTGTTATCTCCAGACTTGCCTTTTCCAATTTTCTCCTGGCTGGCTTCCCATTTTCTGCCCTACATCAAATTAAGTTCATCGATAACTCTGCTGCCTGTATTTTAACTTGCACAATTTCCTCCTCACCCTGTTCTTGCTGATTTATGTAGATTCTTGGTGTGACAGTATTTCAGTTGTAAAATTTCTGCCTTTGCTTTCAAACCCCCTCTAAGATCTCATCCCTCTGTATCTCGAGAACCTTCATCAACCCTGCAAATTTTAGGGAGGCTCTGAACTGCATCACTTCTGGCGACTTGCGCATCCCTGATCGCCCTCACTCCACTAGTTGTGTGTTCAGCCACCCAGGGTGCAAGCTTGAATTCACAGAATCACAGAAGTCTTACAGTGCAGAAGGAGACCATTTGGCCCCTTTTGACTACCAGCTCTTCGGGTCAGCATCATTAACTAGCTTTTTCCTCATTCCCTTGTGCAATCCTATCTATATAACCATCCAATGTCCTCTTGAAAGCCTCAGCTGAACCCATTACATGTCCAGGCAATGCATTCCATACCCTAACTACTTGACGTGTGAAAAATATTTTCCTTGCATGCCCCTTGCTACTTTTATAAATCACTTTAAATCTATGTCCTCTCATTATTGTTCCTTTTACAAGTGGAATTAGTTTCTTCCCATGGTA